GAAGATGGGCCCTTCATGAATCTGCTACTGCTGAGCTTGGCCTGTTGAGTTTATTTTTCTGTTCTATACTTTCCTTGGAACTGCAATTATTAATAACTTCTAAGTGCTTATTGGAAAACCTTTCCTTGTTAAACATATTTCCCCAACTTATTTCAATTTCACATTGTGTAGAGTTACTGACTTCCTCTGGCATTATGTAAAACTGCCAGGCAGAAGTTCTGTGCCCCAAGTGCCCGAGGAACTTTGAGAGTTACGTTGGTGGCAACAGCCTCCTGAGAATGTTCTAGGGGAACGAGTCTAGAACTTGTGTTGTTTCTTATCAAAGACTTCTTCTGCATGTCTCTGACAAAGCTGGACCTTGTGTTCTTAGGGGGAAAATGAAACTCAGGAGTAGCTCAAATTAAACGCATTGGCACAGACAATGTAGTTTTATTTGTACGTTTCTGGCTCGATGTGCTGAGAAACACACTAATTCTCTTGGCTCCCGGCCAATTTTCTACTAATCAAAATGGAGAAGATATGCAGTGTTTGGATTATACCTAAAAATAGTTCCCTGTGGCCACATCAGCAAGTGGAATAAAATTAATTTCTCCTTCTTCCCTGTCACTCACACTCGCCACGTTTTTTGAATTCCCGTCTGGAATATTGCTTCTGAATCGCCTAATCTTTGAACCTCTATATCCTGAGGTACAGCATTGCTCTGTTGTAGTGATTTTGAGGTAAGCTTCATCAGACCACTTTCCAGAGAATAACCATCTCTGCAAACGCTCACCTTTAACCCGCTGTCATTTAGAGTCTACCAGCCAGCCCCTAAAATATAATCCTGGTGGTATTATCATTATTATAAATAAATACTTCTTGGATTAATTTATTACATCAATGGTCCTTTTACCTTTTAGTGGGAGGAGGGAGTCTCTTAGTCAGTCAGATTTGGCTCTGGGGCATTTAAGAAGCTTCCAAATACAGTTGCTGTAATGACAGGCTACAGAAAGCCAGCAGCCCTGAGAGGCCCGCGATGGGCTGGTCATGAGAACAGGATCTTTGCAGGCATGCTAGCGACCCCAGGAAGTTGCTGCTTTTAAAGGTCACCTTCACTCAGACACTGGGCACAGATCACATGCGAGCATTCTGTACGCAGACCCTGCTCTTGGATTTGAACCAGCATGCCTGCTAGCCTTTTTTGAGTCCTTTCTTCTTGAATGAGCTAGAATATCTAGAGCATGTAGTTCTCCACAAGTTCTCTTCATTTCTCACACAGCGTTTCCTAAAACTCTGATTTTCTGCATTTCTTGATGCCCAACCCCACCCCCTTCAACACACACCCTCGCTCATGGCTGTTCATTGGGTTAGCACCTTGTTTGTATTTCTGACGTGACATTTACCTATGGCACGTTTACCGTCATGTTCCAATGTCCTCTCAAGACTGCTAGTATTGTCAAAAGGAAGGGACAACTCCCAGGAAAAAGCCCTCAAGTTATTGTTTTTACTTTCCCACCAAGTCCTCCTGTGGGTCCGGATTGAGGGCATGGGTTCCGCTCCCAGGCTTTGTGTCTCTGGCCCTGGCACTTCTTAACCACTTTATCGCACCAGTCTGTTGCTGTCCTTAGCTGCTCTGCATGCAACTCTATGGTAGGAATTAAGCTTGTTGCTTTGTGGGAATCAGGGTACCTTTGGAAGAGCAGAAAACCTACCCAAACAAATGGCCCACGTGGGCCTCCCTGGCTCCTTCTCTAACTGTGGTTCCTATGCCCAGTGACCTTGGGAAAGTCAGCAGGCTTGTGAATCGGAGCTCCTTCCCCACAAAGCCTGCTTGGTAAGTTTGCTTGTAATTCCCTTTTAGGCGCTCAGGTGGAAGGGATCTTCTCTGCTCTGCCCGGCTCACCGTCTCCTGCCTCTCTCCTTGACCGCTTTCTCCTTTCCTAGCAACACCACCCACGAAAATCCAGGGGGCTTTTTTTTTAAGTGAAAAAGAACAGCTAAGAATAGCAAAAATATATATAATACCCCACGCATTCAAACAAATAGTCCTTCCTTTTTTAAATTGCACTTAAAATTCCAAAGAAACCACAACTGGATAAAATAATCTGCTTCCCAAGCCTCGGATTAAAAACCTGTTTGTTACTCACTGTGCAAAAGCGGTTTAATGATTCCGAAACCACAGGCACTTGGAGAAAAGTCAGTCAAACTGGAAAGTCCCTCAACGCTACAATTTAGTGTTTGGTTGTAAAAGCTAATAGTAACTATCTAGATTGTCTTTTTCTTGGAATCGCAGTTTGGAGATGGAAAGTGCTGAGAGCCACAGGTGTTTGCTTGTGTTGTTGTTGTTGTTGTTGTTACTTAGCTTTTTTTTTTTTAAATTGCAGCTTGTGGGATATTATGTTTTTTTTGTTCCCAATTTAATAAACAGCATCAAATCCACAGGAACGTTGCTGACTTCACATATCTGTCATTTTAACTACAGGAACTTAGCTGCAATTCTGAGACCCTTGTTAAAAATCCATTTAAAATAGTAAACATTAATAGATGCAGCACTTGCGTTTTCTGCAGTGTGAGGAGTTTTTAAAGCCATTATAGGTAACGTTCTTAGGAAAACGCTCTTCCGTGAATCATGATTGCACTTAAATGATTCTGTGATCAATCCTGAGATAACACTCCCCCCATAGGCAGCCCCAAGAAAAACTGAGTCACTTAGAAAGACTCTAGACTTTGGCATGTGAAGACTCTCGAGACGTCTGGCTGGTGATTTCCCCATTGGGGTTCTCCCGCAATCGATGCAGAACCCCCAAAAGTGGGATTGGAGTAACCTGAGTGTCAAATTGCTGCTCCTCCATGTTTTCAGCCTTTGTCTCGGCAGACACTTCCTTTACAGCAAACTCAATTCTTTGTAGAGTTGTGACTCCCGGTTGCTCCCAGTGGCGTCTGAAACTGATGGCCCAGCGCTGTTCTCTTTACAGAGCTCTGCAGTGAGTGAGGTGCGTGAAAATCAACACCAACCCTTTGTCAGCTTTCTTAACATATATTAATTACATCTTCACAGATGCATCAAAGGTACTTTAGATGTTTTCCAAGGAATCATTTCTAGTTTTCTCTTTTAAAAGATTGCATTTTTAAAAAATTGCACTTATGTATTGGGGAGGGACCATGCTACAACACACCATGCGGAGGTCAGAGGACAACTTTCGGGGGTCAGGTCTCACCTTCCATCATGGGGGTCCCAGGGATCGAACTCAGGGCTGTCAGCCTTGGTGGCAGGCATCTTTAACCCTCAGCCTCCTTGATGGCCCCTCCCAAGGCTTTCTATGCTCTAAGTAACTCCATTTGATTTTCACAGAATGTCACACTATTGCTTTCTTTTCTGCTGTCAATGATGAAGTGACTCTGGTCCCAGAGATCTCTCCTGGCTGAAAAGGAACAAACACAGCCTGCACACAGTGCTAGCCAGCGTCAGCACGTCACCCTTCCTGGAATTTTGTTAGTATTTTTTTTTTTTTAAACCAGTGTCACCAGAGCCACAAAGCTCTGAAGATCTAAAGGGAAAAAAATTATACAAAATGAAAAGATGTAACATGCAAAATGATAAATTTTTACAAAAGCATCCTGCAAGCACGGGACAGAGCCGGCAACATAGCTTTTCCCCACCAGGCAACAGTACAGCTTGCTCCCCAAAGGACACAGATGCTCAGCTTTCCTCAAGTCTGCAGTGTGGTGATACACCTGAAGGGCATGTGTGCCGTCTCCACAACAGATATTCTCAGTCAACACGTGGGCCGCCTCCGTGACCACTCTGCTGTGATTCATATGTCCAATGACTCCTAATTGAGGGTACCATGTACTCACCCTGCAGCTCTGAGTCTGTCCCCAAGGCATTCACACTTTGGGGAGATTAGGCATTCCCCCCCTAGAAAATGTGATAATGAGGCAGGTGTGGTTATGTACCAGACATATGGGCTAGAAGGAAAGACTAAATCAGCTCCGTCCAATAGAAACACAATACAAGCTGTGTTTAATTTCGCATTTACTAGTAGCTTTTCTTAAAGAGAAAAACAAACAGATGAAATTAGTGTCTTGACATGTAAATGATGTATAAAAGCCTCATCAATGAGATAGTTCATACATATACATGTGTGAGATATTCCGTGTGCACGTGTGTGCTAATCCTGAGGAAACTGGTGTGTGTCTGACACATAGAACTCATCTCGATTGGCGATCACCACTTTCCATGTGCTCAGTAGCAGGGGACAAAGTGGATGGTACAGTAACAGAAACTTGGGGGTAGAAGAGTGGCATGAAGGGCCGTTCCCTGGGAAGTCACGAGGAGAGAGGAACTACGTGAACAAAAGCAAAGCATTGTGGGTATCAAGACAAGTATTTAGATAGGAAATAGCCGGTTGCAGATAGTCCTTGTCGGTGCAGAAACTGAAGGTGTCCCTGAAAACCTGGGGAGCCTCTGGGCTCTGCCTTCCTGACCATAGCGACTTACGACCAGCAACGTTGAAAGATTAGCCATCAACGGCATGACAGGTGACTATAACTTCTTCCCTAATCTTCAAAAATAATTGAGGCTCTTCAATAATCTCGCTGTGCAAAATAATAAAAAAAAAAAACTAGTACTTACATCCTTTCATGTATATGAGCTCTAAATTAACTTGGGTTTTTTATTTTTATATTTTAATTTCAGAGATACTCAGAGAAGTGCACCCTTATGGAGCAGGTCTCTGGGTGCATAATGCTGAGGATCAGGCATTTCCCTGAAGGTCATGCCCTGTGGGTGTAAGGCTCATGATTGCAGGAAGTTTGCTCAAGGCATAGTCAGACACAGGTCATGTCTGGGAGATGTACAAATTTCTGTTTTAAATTTTAACTCTGTGTGCCTTTACCATAAGAAATAGTAATATATCCATTAAAATAAATTGCATCCATCTTTATCTATCATATATCACAATAGCATACAGACATCACGGCCCTCTTGACATTGGCATGTCCCCTCCGTCTTGAAACAGGTTCCTCCTAATCAATATATCATCAGAGGGAGAGAGTGAGCGTCCATGGAATCCTCAGCTGTCCCAGGGAACCTGAATGTCAGGATGCCTTCTGACAAAGCTAAAACTTAGATGCGATTCTTCCCTCTGTCTGTTATATATCTGCATTTTCTTAGCAGTGCACATTCATTTTAAACAATACGGTAAGTTTCTTTCTCATTAGCATTTATTAGTGGGTAAAGAGTTTTATTCTGACATTTTCAAACAAGCATATGGATGGGATTCACCCCCCATCACCCTCTCATACACCTCTTCTCCCTCTTTTTAATCCTTATAGCTTTCCTAAGCCAACATTTAATTTTAATGTCTTTTATATGAATGTCACATGATTGAAAACATGCAGTGCTCACTGGCTGATTTTTGCCTGGTTCTGTTCATTTTCCTGCAAAATAATGTAACTTTGTTCTCCATGCTGCATAAAACTTCATTGTGAGTGCACATATATGTGTGTGCATATATGTACATGTGTGCATATGTGTACGTATGTGCGTATGTGCAGCTCACATTTCCTTCCTTCATCTATTGACACCTAGACTGATTCTACATCTTGCCTTTGGAAACAGAGCCATTATCAATATGGGTATGCAGGCATCACTATGGTAAGCTGACTTGATCATTTGGGGTTCATATTTAGAGGTGGCTAGCTGGATCGCATGGTTGCTCAAACCAGAATTTTTGTTTGCAAGACACTCTGTGTGGCACTTCAGATTGGGCAGGCAGGCTCTCCAGGGGATGCCTGAGCATGGCCGTGTGACATTTATGAACTCTCTGCTTTAAAAACCGCTTAGACCTGTTTGGTACGAGCACATTTCTCCGCATCACTTTCTGAGACTGACATAGAAAATCAGAAGACCACTTTAATAATTTATGGTGTAGAAGCCACAAAGCCTATTCTCTGCATTCTTTCCACACCCAGGGAAGATAACTTTAATGACAAGGCTCTTAGTAAGCCTAAGGTCAGAGCAAAGAGCTGGCTCCCTGAAATTCGGGGAGCCTCCTGCCCTTAAGCCTGTCCATCCATCTCCCCAGGATAGAGCTTGTTGACTCTTCATTTTCTAGCACGTGCCCATTTTCATTCAACCTCAGTCCCCCACAGAGACATTCCTCTGCAGGCCACTGCCCTGTCTTGTTGACCTGGCTGTCTCTTTACAAGAGGCTCTTCCCTCTGCTCCCATCCATTATTTCTGAGTTAATGGAAGCCTCGGAGAGGGGAGGGATTTTATAGCCACCTACCACCCTGAGAAGAACACACATTTCCTGTAGAAAAGCTCCTGGTTCTCTTTCCACATTCTGGGCACCAGGTGTTTGACTCAGTTCATCTCACTACAAGAGATACTGTCATCTCTCTTTCATGTAACAGTGGCCTTTCCCCAAAACATAACATGTATGTGCCTAGCCCACATTAAAATCTTTATTTCTCTAATTTGCCTATCAGATGGATTAGGAAGTGTATATCATTTGCAGTGCCCAGAGCAGCTTAGCAGTTTCAGCCCCTGAAAATGACATGCTCTGCAGGGCCATGCAGGCTGCCGCCACAAGGGGCCAGATGTCAGAGTGGAGAACCACGTTTGTCTGGGAAGGAAAAATGATAAATTTCATTATGGCACCAAGCAACCGGTTTTAAGATACACAGTTTAGATTACAATCATAGAGCAAAGTCTGAAATGTGTGGAATAAACTACAAAGTCGGATTTTTGTTTCCAATCAGTATATTATTATGTTGCCATTTTGCTGTATCACAGATCAACTTATAGTATTTATTCGTTTTTCTAGTTGTGTGCTGGTTTTATAGACAGTTCCTTATTTATTTATTCATTTTTTATTTTATATGTATGAGTATTTTGCCTACATGAGTGTAAGTGCAACATGTACATGAGATTGGAGGTCACAGGAGGGCGTCAGATCCCCTGGAACTGGAGTTACAGATGGTTACCAGCCGCCATATGGGTGCTGGGAATTGAACCTGGGTCAAATGCTGAGTAACTTTCCAAACCCCCAGATAAGAGATCTTGAATATCAGGCAGGCACTTTCTTCCGTTGTTTTTACTTCATTTCCTGTATGCATACTTGTAGCATGAATCTTAACAGTTCTTATTAATAAAATAAAACCCGGGGCCAGTTGTTGGGGTGAAATGCTGGATGGTCAGAGAGACAGAATAAGCCACAGCTAACCTCACCTGGCCAACTTCTCAGCTGGTCTTGTTTCCTCAGACTGGAAGCCTCTGAGTCCTCATATCCGAATGGCTCTCAGCTGAACTGTGCTGCTAGAAGCCTGAAAGCTTAACCAGCCAAATGCTTAACCAGCCAAATGCTTAACCAGCCAAATGCTTCTAGTTTCTGGTCTCCACGCCTTATATATCTTTCTGTTTTTGCCATCACTCCCTGGGATTAAAGGCTCGCTTTCTGGGATTAAAGGTGTGAGTCACCATGCTTGGCTGTATACTTGAACAGATGGATTTCTGCCTCTGGAATGCTAGGATTAAAGGCATGTGCTACCACTGCCTAACTTCTATGTTTAATATTGTGGTTGTTCTGTCTCTGACCCCAGATAAGTTTATTAGCATGCACAATATTTTGGGGAGCACAATACCACACATACTATATTTAACTTTTTATTGTTTTACTGACATAGTAGTTTTATATATTCACTGGTACAATGTAAGATAAATATACGTATGTATATGTATATATAACATACTAATGATTTAATCAAGCTAATTAACATATCCATCTCTGTACCTACCTGTCCTTTTGTTTTTTTATTTTTGGTTTTTGGTTTTTCAAGACAGAGTTTCTCTGTGTGTATTCCTGACTGTCCTAGAACTCGCTCTTTAGACCAGGCTGGCCTCGAACTCACAGAGATCCACCTGCCTCTGTCTCCTGAGTGTTGGGATTAAAGATGTGCACCACAACCGCCACGCACCTGTCCTTTCAAAAAAAAAAAGATTTGTGTTCATTACTTTTATTTATGTGTGTGTGTGTGTGTGTGTGTGTGAATGTCTGTGTAAATTGTATGTGGTTTCAAATATGTTTGAATGTGTGTGTGTCTGTGTGTGAATTGTGTGTGGGTATGAATGTGTGTAAGTGTGTGTGAGAGAGAGATTGTGTGTGTGTGTGTGAGAGAGAGAGAGAGAGATTGTGTGTGTGTGTATCTGTCTGTCTGTCTGTCTGTCTGTCTTTTTAGGTAAAATATATGGAATAGAGCCACAAACTCTTATCCAAAGCCCCGAGGGGCCATATATGTTTTGGAATTCAGATTGTTTTTAATTTTAGGAAGATAAATGGTGATAGAAGACATTACACGCTACACTAAGTAAGGTCCAGGTCAGGATCCTATAATCAAATAGTAGTGTCTCTACTGTGAAATGTATGATTATTCATGCCAAGTAGATAAATAATGACTATAAATAGCCTCACACCAGTTCAAGTCAGATTTTGCTGCCAAATGAGTTCAAGTAAGGTCACATTAACTGCCAAATGAGTTATGGAAAAACTGTATCTCCAGAGCTTTCTGGATCTGGGAATTTGGCCTGTGAGATTGTAGACCTGTGTGCTGACATGATCCTTTGTAGAGCATCACCTGCTCGTGAGGGAGGCGACAGTGTTTTAAACCTATCACATACGGCCTGTCAATTCATCCACCGGCAATAGTATCCAATAAACACAATGAGGCAATAAAAAGGTTATATAAACAGATTTGGAGGGTGTGTGTGTGTGTGTGTGTGTGTGTGTGTGTGTGTGTGTGTGTGTGTGTATGCTGATTTTTTAACCTAGGGCCTTGTGCATGTTAGGCAAATGCTCTACCAATGAGCTATATCCCTAGCCCAAACAAAATAGATTTAAAAATAACTAAGATTGAATCCTAGAGCAGACTTTAGTAGTGAGAGGCATCATAGCAATGAGAGAAACATTTGAGGGAAGCAAAGGAAGTCTGCATATCATACAGCCAGTCTTCTGTTTGCCTGTGCCAGGCTCTCAGCAAGACAATGTGCTTCTTATAACAAGGTCAGTTTCTTAGAACTGCAGATGGAAGACGGGGCCTCAGCCATAGGTAATTGGTGAAGTGCTTGCAGAACAAGCCCGAGGACCTGAGTCTGATACAAAATAGGGCGTGGGGCATGTGTCTGTAACCTAGCACAGGGGAGGCAGAAACAGGACGATCCTGGAGCTTGCTGGCCAGCCAGTGTGGGCAATCCGTAAGCTCCACATTCAGTGAGACCCTGTCTCAAAATAAGTCAGAGGCCAGGTGTGATTGCACACACCTTTAACTCCAGCACTCAGGAGGCAGAGGCAGGCGGATCTCTGTGAGTTCAAGGCTGACTGAACTGTTCTACAAAGGGCTACATAGTGAGACCTTACCTATAAATAAGTATGGAGAGGGGTTGAGGAAGGTGCCTATTGTTTACTTCTGGCTTCCAACATATGTGCACACACAAATACACAAATATGTGAACACATATAAATATGTACACATACACACACATCATAATCTCCACTCCAGAAAGATGCACACACCTTTCCCTGTGAAATAGTCACAATTCCTACCTCAGATGCTTCCCACATTTGGAAAGAAAGTGGATGTTTAAAAATCTCACAGCCAGTGTAGTACCACGGAGAGCACCTTCATGTCAAGCTTCCTCAAATTGACTGTGGTCATGTGCCTCGGTAGCGTCTATGACATTTACATCAACTTAAGATTTTCAATGCAATATCCATAAAATAAATATTTCCGCACTCACCGTGACCTTTATCTTCATCTTAAAAGGTTGGAGAGAGAGAAGATGGCCCCTTTTTAGTTTTTCTTTTTTGTATTTTCGTGTCCTCTATCATGCAAAACACGGGGGGACAGGGAGAGAAACCCCTGGGGAAAAGACACACACTTTCCAACCAGCAAGGTCATCAAAGCATCAGTTTTCAATTTGACATTAACTAGGAAAGGGAATGATGAAGTAAAATTTTTAAGTGTTGAGCTGTCACAGGGGGATAAAGATTTACATTAGTCCCTGGCATCAAATCATGATTTAGATTTGACAGTTTTAGGCACAGAATCTCTTCTCTTTGGCTTTTTGAGAAGTCTGATGGGAGAGAATTCTGAGTGTGTAGTCCTGTATTCCCTCTTCTGTGCTCCTGTATGAGCTCTTGT